AAGCGCCGATGTATTGTACTCCATTGACATCGAGCGCATGGGGCTGTAGTACATGCGGTCGCAGGTGGCTGAGTCAGGCAGGCCTAGTGAGCCATGAACGAGGCCACTCGGCGCCACCACCGAAGCGACGACGGCTCCTGCAGAGAACGCAGGCAGAACCGGCGCAGCGTTTGTGGATACGCTACATTTGATTTACTAACCTTGTGTTCGCATGCTTAGTCGCTTTATTTCAAGTGGTGGGTTTGAGATATTTCACTAATGTCATTTTTTCTCATATGAATATTCACCTGAATTATCTTCTTTTAACTTGCACACGTCAGCCAAGTTATTCGTAGTAAAGTTCGATGACATCTTTGCGTTTGTGGCATTTCTGAACATATGTTTTTTGATCTCCTGAATTTATAGCGGATTCGTCCGCAGTCATTTTCATACGCTCATTTAGTGAAGAGTTGTGTCATCGTATCTGTATAAATAATTCGATTTATTTTATTTGATATTGTCGTGTCAAGTGAGTGGCTGTTGCTTGATGTCCCCGGTGTGGCTGCGCTTGATGTGCACGTTGACTGTCTATTACCCACAAACTCGCCCATACTGACTCCAGTAGACAGTTGGTCGTTGCTGGAGGAGACGGGCTGCACGGTCTTTTTGGCCACCCTAGGCTCGAAGAGTGGACCAATGCACTCAGCGTGGAGCGGACTACGGTCTAGTCACCGCATTGTGTACGTTTGAATCGCCAAATACATCGTCCTTGTGTTTACCTGTGAAGGAGTGTGGGCCGGCTCCGTTGATGTAACGTGGCTCCCATCCGAATGCCTCCCGATATCATTCCTTCGGGTTTACACTGGATATGGGGTGTGTAGTTGGAGCTGCAGGCGGTACAACGCAAGCCACCGATGGTCCCTCTGTAGGCGCAGGCGTCCTGCGGCTGGCCACAGTAACAGGCAAATCCGAAACCGGATGCCGCCAACAAAACCATATATATATATATATATATATATGTATATATATATGTAGATATATATGTAGATATATATATATTCCAAAGATAGCCGTACCAAACCAAGAAATTTAAACGGATATTTTGTTTGGACCTGTAAAAATAGCAGGCAATTCCCCTTACGAGTGGGATGGGTTGAGCTACTATGTAAAGTGATGGCTGTACTGGTTGAGAAAACACGCATGTATATTAAACTGTAGAGAAGAATGAGATAGTTTTTCAGCCGTTGAAGTCAGAGGGGATCGAGCTAGAGGCAGGAACGTCGGTCCTCGTAAGCAGGCGTTCATGAGTGCCCCATGAGCATTGTTGTAAAGGAGCGCTCGACGTTTTCCGAAGCAGTTCTATATGTTTTGCGTAAGCAGCTGTGTATTATGGCGCCGTACACCAGAATGAATCGCACTATGAGTTTGTATGATTCAAGTCGTATTTGGGATAGTGAAAATGACTTGGTGATGTCGCTTGTTAGTTGCTTGGCTTCCGTTTACTTGATGTTGGATGTGTACGGAGAAGTTGAATCTGCTGTAGTATTGAATACCCAAGTTACGAACGGAATACGCAGTTAGGATGGGGGTACCAGAAAGTGAGGGATCCTTCTGATATACTGCATCTGTGGCAGAGTATCTGAGATCTATCTGTCGAAAACCTCAATGAACTGCATTCGGTTCATTTGTTTATGGATGATAGGTCTTCCTGTAGATTGTTAGGCATACCTCCAGACGGTCAGGTAGAAATGAGTGCATTATTTTGATATTGTCCGCAAATAAAAATGGGCGTCCGTGTCTAATGTAATCACATATATTGTTGATGTAAATAAGGTAAAGCAATGGGCCCAATATACTGCCATGAACAACATTCGTGACATTTCTGGAAGTAGAACAATATTAACCAAACTGTACTCTTTATGTTTGGTTGTTCAGATATGATTCGAAGCAGGAATAAAGGGTTGTTGATTCCATGGGACTCAAGCGCGGCCAGCAATGATCTGTGTGTTACACAGCCAAACGCATTTTGCATATCCAGAAAGATAAGGATGGCCATGACACCTAATAGGGCTGCTGTAATATGATCGGGGAACTGTAACTGGCATGTGACACAGAAACGCTTTGTAGTGGAACCATGTTAGGAACTTCTCAGTAGGTTTTGTCTTATCAGGAAGTGTGCTACCCGAGTTTTGGCGATTTTCTCTAAAGCTTTAGAGGTATAATTATGGAAATTTTCCATTGAGTCGGGAAGCAGCCAGTGTTTAATGACAGTGTGAAAATATTCAACATGAGGTAGGGTATGTTTTCACCGCTTAACTTTATAGATGCAGGGATAATACCATCAGGTTCCGGTTGGAATGTCGGTTTGATGGTTGTTATAGACATCTGTAAGTCCATTAGATTCAAAGGGATGGTAAATCGTATAATTTCCGTTCTGATTGAAAGGAGAGGAGAGGATACAGATGGTGTAGTAGTAAACGAGGTAGCAAAGTAGGAATTCATCGAATCACATATTTGGACTGTATCGTTTGTTGTCGTGCCGTCGTTTGAAACTAGGCCTTCAACTGCGTAGTGTCATTTCAGATTTCTTCTTAGTAAATGCATCAGGACTCGAGCTTTCTCTGTAATGCTGATGACTCAACTTTCCTGGACAACTTTAGACTGCTGAATTTGGTTTATCTGAATTAATGTGGCGATGTCCTTGTTTTTGCAGTGCAGTGATCTCAATTTCTTTAGCTTGGAAGCTACCTTGGATGAGTTTTGTATCAGCCGTCAAAGGGCTGTTTTTATCTTCGACGTAGGTGCTAGAATGTCCGTATATGTGATGACATTTCTCGCCAATTCTCCTACGTCTATGGCCGAATCTGATGTGGAGATGAATCGGTCCAAACATATGATCCTAACCAGCTAGTCAAATGTGCTCCAATCAATAAGGTGTATTCAGCGTATTGGCTTCCTTATTGCTTTGGTCTTTTCAGATAGCCTGATTTTCATGCTGAGAGAGCATCATATTGTGGTGACATCTTATTAATGGGTCTTCAAATAGTACACAAACAGATGGAGTACCTATAGTGAAAATCAGATCTAGGATGGTATCTAACCTTGTAGATTGCTTAAGGTGACGAGTCCAAGTATTGATACAGACATATTGCATCATTTCCACAAGTTCACCAGTTGTTGCAGGCCTAAGCGATATTCAGATTATACTTGGCAGATTGAAATATCCATATAGGAATTTGTACTTGTATGGAGTGCTGGAAGTAATGTTAATGACAGACATTAAGTGCTGAAATTCATGGACGGTGGCATCAGGAGGTTTATAAATGCTGCCCAGTAGCAGACCATAGTCTACCATAATGAATCACCCAAATCATTGAAGGCTAACTGGTCAACTGAGATTGGTATTATGTAATTACGTGTGTAGATTGTACATCAACCGCCGCGCTTGTGCAGACGACCCTTCCGAAACAACTGATGAGCCAGAGCATCCAGTTGAAAGTCACATATAGCTTATGTACACTAAGTCTGGGAGATACAAACAATGTGGGAAGTGTTAAGAACACAAACATTATAAGGTATATAGCTTCGGTAATAACGAACGAAGATTTGTAGCAAAAGAATTAAGAGTAATAGGATGCACAAATCTGGTTAAATCACACCCTCTGTCTTCATGGACGTGGGCGGTGTGGGCTCTGTTGTGCGTGTACTGGCTCTGTGCTGGAACAAATGGATCATCACTGGGATTTGTATGGTCGCACGTGGAGTCGAGTAACTTCACAGTGTAGCAACCGCCCACCGTTATCATTAAGGGAGCCCACACAGTGTTGGTCGCCCAGATGAAGTTCATTCTTGGACAGTTCTCCAAGCTGGGAGTTCAAATCGGCAGTAAGCACCACAGTATCCGTACTGTTCATGTAACCAATGAGCCCGTTTAGTTGGTCATGTTGGTCAAGTTATATTTCAACAATGCAGCACTAATGTTTGTGGGGGCGTAAAGGCAATAGTAAACAAGCACCGATCGTCCCGTTCGACTTGAAGTTTTGAAAGAGCCAGCCAATCTGGTGGTGCACATTGGCTATCGGCTGGGATCAACCGATCAGAGCAGCTTCAGGCCGGGGCTTAGAGCAATTCCCACGCCGGTTTGACCGGCATCTGAAGCTGCGTCATTTCCGGACAAAGTGTTGTTGCATTTGCATTTCAACACCATTCGATTCAGAGAAGGATTGCACACTAGCAATGACACCTTGCATTTGCGAACCCAGTGAAAATTTAAGTCAGATAATGTTAAAATGCTACATAAAAACTTAGAGGACGATTAGATTATCACGGATTGCAGACACAATTTATATTGCGATAGAGCTATAAAGATCTAAATGTCTACTTGCTCCCACTTATAGTATTCATTATTCAGCACTTCATTCTTGCTTCTAGTTTCGTTGTCTTATATTTGCATTCAACCCCAGTGTCTTGCGGTTGTTATTTGTTGTTATTCTTGCAAACTGATCCGCCGCACTTCGGTGCTAGGATCATAATTGTTCAACTGAACTGAACTAATGGAAAAGAGTGAGAGAAGTAACATGATCGGTACAGGTTATCTATAGAGATAGGCAACAGGGATGTTTAAGGTTACGACAATTAAACGATGGTTCACTACTGGCCATAAGAGGGAAGACATCAGTGTTTATGGAATGGAAGGAAGCGAAGTTCTAAGTCAACGGTTCGTGTGAGTCTGCTGACAGAAGAACGAGCAAAATTGGGAAGCGACAAGAGTAGTGAACATGATGAATGGGAGAGGAAGAAGGAATTGCGTCAGCAGTGCGCTGATATTTCGTGCAAACTGCTCTTCGCGTGCGAACCACGAATACTGCGAAGTCACCAGGCCACTGGAGGGCAAAGAGATCAGCTAATCCGATAGCAAAATGAACTACAGTTGAAGGTTAAGTATGGCAAAACCGTGGGATGTTGGTTGATAAGATGTGCCGACGTAAGACGGATACAGTGCAGGGAAGCAATGGACTCACATCTTTCCACAGACCGTATTGACGCTCACTCATGGGTGAGAATCCTGTGGTGAAGATGCGGTCCCCGGACACGTACACAGCCTGTTGTGGCTTGGTGCCCAGGTGACATATACCCTCCTGGAAAGCAATTGAAATGTATAAAGCTTTATGTCGAACAAATGGCTGATCAACGTAGAACCAACAAAATGTAATGTAGTTGCGTGTTACAGAATCAAAGGGAAAATGAACGTGATATATAAGTAAGATAAGAGCATCATAAACTGCTAGATTCTGACTATGCCAGAAACCGTTTGTCGCCTGTGCGAGGATTAAATACTCGGGTGTGTCGATCATTGCAAGTATTCACAACGGGTGATCCATTGTAGTTGAAACTGACGGACAGTATGATGTCAGGAAAAGCTATTTCTATCAACGGTTCCTCAGCGGCTACATTCCCGATTTATACATGTTGTGCAGTCAACTGCTGCTTGGGACCGAAAGAAGAATGAGGCAAGCTTGTTCTAACCGAACAGGACGCATTCCAATGGAATGCAGAGAACCAAACTGATAATGGCTGTCAACGACGGTAGGATCACGCTCGTTCAATGAGATGATCTTAGTTGTCACCTCCACTGATTGAGGAAATAAGATTCATTCGCGGAGCTGAATAATTTAGACTAGAATAGCGGATGAAAAATACGGAAATGTGACAGCGCTTTTATGAAGAAAGCCGGCAACCCTTCGCTAGCAGCCCGGAACAGTTGACCTTGACGTAGCCCGAAGCTTATTGGCCAACCAATGAGAGCCGCCTAATGATGGCGTTTCACATTGAACGCTACCAATGAGGATGGTCTACCTGCCAGTCAGTGCTAGGCCATTCAAAACAACCCGGACCACAACTTTTCCTAGTCTTGGAAAACAATATATGTGATCCGATCAAACATGGACACCCATTTCGGTTTGCAGATGACGTCAAACTTGTTTACTCATTTCATCCAGACTAACTACAAATATGCTTGGGAAGCATCTGTGGAAAACTATCCGCACTAAATATAGCTAGTGAATGTTTATTAATGCAGTTCTCCGCAGTGAAATCCCAAGTACTTGGGTACAGATGCCGCATCCCAGAAGGCACTATCATACTTGCCGGAGATGTGATCCCAACATCTGATTCAGTTCGGGACTTAGGAATTAGGTCCTCCGACTCTTTCAATTTCTTCAAACATGCACTTTATCAGGTTGCAAAAGCAAGGCAGTTATGCTGATATATCACCAGAACTTTTTCCCTACCTGAAGCACGACTTGAGTCAATCAAGACAATAGTACGACCGACCCAATTGAGAAAGAAAGACAGAACGGCTCTCGAAAATGTCCAACGGTCATGTACCAAGCTGGTCACTAGGCGCTGCTCAAACCTGACTTATTATGATCGCTGTCGAAAACTCCATCTGGATCCTCTTTGGCTGAGACGCTTAAAGAACAACCTCGTTCTCTTCTACAACTATAAACCATCGAATTTACGCAGACAGCACCGCACTTGAACTATGGAAGACTGCAGTCTACCCCACACGCAATGGCGGCTACTTGATACGCACAAACCTTTCAAGTCATAAAACTCGGTCGAATTTCTTCTTAGTGAGATACACTGATCTGTGGAAAAAAATGACAAAACTGAGAAGCATGAGTGCAAGCTATGTCACATTTCGAAATTCCCTACAGACATTTCTCATTATATCAAATGTTGAAGATCTTTGACTCACGGCAAACGCTAGAAAGATTGACAAAAGCTGGCATAAAAAAACATAGGAGCAGATATTTATTTACAACTAGCTTACCCACTACATATCATTACCTACAATACCAAATCCTGTGTCTGTGCAGCCTAGTAGCCCCTCCCTTTTATTATCTACCCCTGATGATACAAACATCCGTAAATTTTACACATTAGGTGCACGGGTCTAGGACCAGAGGAAAAAAAATCATGTTCCGAAATTCTACTAATAAAGTTTTCTTTACTATTATGATTTGTGCCGCATAAACCATGAAACGTATTCACTATACAGATGATCGCTCCCGCTTATGGAGCCATATACCGTCTGTCGGTAAATCTAAAAATTTATTTATTTACAACTACTGATTAAACCATAAATTTTAATTGTTTATGCTGCTTGCCGGGTGTACAATACTAATTCCGTCTGAGGCCTTTGTGTTCTAATCTAGAAAGTCGGCCGGTGTCTGAGTACGTTATCCGTACAACAAGTGGAAAACACAACAGCTTTATAGCAGAGCAATTAGCTGAACTAGTCTTTTCCATCCCTATCGACAATAACTTGCATCCACTGGAGCGTGGCAAACGATGCGCGGTAAAAAAAAATCGGTGAAGAAAACAACTTGATGATACCGGTCAGGAAGATAGCACTGATTTCAAGCAGCATGAAAGGGAGTGAAAGCTGACAATTGCATCGTCTATATTTGCAGAATATGTGCATAAGTGACTGTAGCGATGCGTAATCCAACTCTTTCTACAGAATCTCTACATACATGAGGATGTACATTATGTAACTACTGCTGTACGTATCAAGGGCGAAGTCGCTTGTTAAACTGAGTATTTATTTATCTGAATAGAGGTAGAATTCATACCACTGCTGGTTATTTCAGGTTTTTGAAAAGAATACTGTAAAAGCATACAGCAGAAGGGTCACGACAAGTGAGGAATCGCACACTTCGGGATAAGTCCTCAACCATACAATGGGAATTCTTGGACTCTTTCGCACTGCCCTTCAAAGAGGAACGAGGGGTCACGACGTTTGTAGTAGGAGAGAAGGGCGTTTCACAAGAGACAGAAGAGCCAGGTGAGCAATACAAAGCGAATGAGAAAAGTGGTGAAAACAATAGGAAAATGAACATACTAACCTTGATGATTTCGCCTGTGCGAGGATTAAATACTCGGGTATGTCGATCCTTGCAAGTAGTTACCACGCGTGATCCATTGTAGTTGAAACTGGCGGACAGTATGATGTCAGGAAAAGCTATTTCTATCAACGGTTCCTCAGCGGCTACATTCCAGATGTATATCATGTTATCTGCGCCTGTAAGAAGGAATAAAAAAAGGAAGGGAAAAGGAAAACTGGTTTAACTGAGAATTACCAACGGAAGTAACGCAGTTTGATGCAGACAAGTCTTATGACGGACGGAAGAAGCGAACATAGGACATTCAAGTGCGCTGAAAAAGTAAACGCAACGCAGAGCCAGAAATGGTGACACAAGTGGGACAAAAGGCGCCACTCAATCTAGAAACGTGAATCTGTATTCAGCAAATGATTTACATGGTGCATTGAAGATTAGCGTCTAGCTGCATCAAAAAATAACGGCATCGTTATCTCGCATGTTAAAATGGCGCCACCTCTACCACACACCAAAAGAACACTAATGAATAAGATCCAAGGAATACATCGCAACGCAACTGGGAAAGTAAGTATGTATCAACAGTACACCGGTACGTAGTACCGACGCCTCACTGCCGCGCGACCACCAACAATCGCGCGTGAGCTCAAGATATTGCGAGGGTCACCCAGTCACCTACATAGGCTTGAACCCGCGCCCTCGGAGTACAAGGCAGGCTTGTGATCCTTTAGGCAACAGGCCAGTATTTGCAAAGCCACTAAACACTATTAAACAACAATCAGAGTAGCAAGGAGAATTGACTAAACCTGGAGCAGTCAGCAGAGGATGTTCGGTCTGTGTCTAGTTGACTGGTGAGCTTCTCGGACATGGTAGATCAATTCCGATTAGCTAATGTGATCATAAGGGAACCGGAGTGGGGATGTCGTAACACGGGCTGCACCTCTTAACATTCGAGTTGGTAACTATAGTTAGAAACAATTAGATCCCTTTAGTAATTTGAATAAAGCCATAAGAAGACGAACACTGCAGATGTCGACATTTCGTTGAACTCCAGAATAAGGGAACATGTGCCTAAATGGTTGCAGCGTCAAATCACCCAGTCGTCGGCCGCTCATACCATCTGTTCATGTAAGCCACCTGCTTCATCCATAGGTGGGCATTTACTGGCCACCAGTCATCAGTTTGATCCGGCCAAAATGTTGCCAATCGGGTTAAGACATGCCAACGCCCGGTTCCTACGTTTCGCCGAGGCAGTCGCGATCAGCCGTATCAAACCCGCACTCTGTGTGCAGAAACAGCTGATCGTAAGCCTACGGCTGCCCTGGGCGTAGGGGTGTCACGCCTGCCCTCTACCCTGTTCTAACTTGTTCCCGTCCTCACCCTACCTGTCGTCTTATATATTTTCATGTCATTGTGTTGGCACTGAACAGACAATACGAAATGTTGACATCTGCTAGTGTTCGTCTTCTTATGGCTTTATTCAAACTATAGTTAGGTCCATAGTTACAAGACGGTGGTAAAACTCACCCTGCATCTATCAACATGGCAGCGGTCAGAACACTGTCACCTAATTGAATTTATTAGCTTACACGACCGATTACTAGGATACCGTAAACAGATAAGAAACCGCAAATCAGGGTAACCTGGTACAAAGCAACAGGGGGGCGGTGGTCTGATAAGTCTGGATATTCTGCGCAAAGTAGTCGACAAATCATGAGACTTCAAAAGGACACCATCAGTGTCAATTATGAAATGAAACGAAATCGGCTCCTAACCATGTCAGCGAGTGTGTCCAAGCAAACGTGCTCATCGTCCTTCAGACCCCAGCCAGGCATTGGGGATGCAACATGCGACGCCTAATTCAAAGTGTGGGACTACATTCCTCTCGACCAAGTCATCGCCTGACCTCCCCTCCTTCTCTTCCATTCAGACCCCCGGCGCGCAAACAACACACGTCACGGGAGTCGGTGGGCTGGCGTGCGTAACACGTGGCCCAGCCACCGGAGCTTGGTGCGTTATATAATGATTCTGAGCGGATTACTCACTCGTCCTGCAATAAATACGCGAGACCGAACACGCTCATAGCGTACGCGGTGCTCCCACCAGACATGAGTTATGTTACGAAGGCAGCGATGGTCGCACGCAGCCTCTTTATGTCTGTCGACCTGATGGGCCAGGCTAAAGAATCGTATTAAAGGGTTAAACGGACGGCTGCATTGTGAACTCTGCCCTTCAGGGCGAGTAAAGCCACGCCGGCGCGACAGATGGCGGAGATTGGCAGAAGCATCTCGAACCTCTGCTATACGGTTTGGGACCACAATGTCGATCCCACGGGCACTAATATAGCTACCCATGTACTGGAATTACTGAAAGACTTACAGCCGGTCACCAACAAGGGTCAGTGCAGGAGCAGAGCCCCGCCAACCTTGGAGAAGGACCTTGCATTTCGATGGAGCAAAGCACACCCCAAAACAATTAACAGTCAGTGTTAATCTGTCCAGTGTTGCTTGGCACGTTTGGGCGCGGGCATAGATGAGGGCAATGTCATCCGCATATTCCAAGTCAAGAGGTCGCTCACTAGGAAGCAGCTCCACATCGCGTACTGTGAACGATGTCTCCATGACTTCGTCAATGGCGAAGTTAAAGAGGAATGGTGACAGCCGGCAATCTTGTCTTACAGCGCTGGAGATAATGAGGGGCGGCGACATTTTGCCATAAATCCTCATTCTGCCTGAACTATGCGCGGACAGCGCCCCGATAATGTTTACGTATTTATCGGGCACATCTTTCCTGAGCAAACAGTCCCAAAGGGCACATCGATCAACCGAATCGAGCGCACTTTTTATGTCAAGGAACACGACTACGGTGGGTCGCCAGTAAATGTGGCAATGTCCCAACAAATGAGGTAAAGTAAACAGGTGGTTGATGAAGCCTCGATTCCGACAAAACCCAGCTAGCTCCTCGTCTGTGAAGATAGACAGACAAAAGCAATGTATAGGCAATTGAGATCAGACTGATCCCTCTATGACTGCCGCATTCGGAACGGAAGCGTCCCTTAAAAATTGGGACTATAAGGGAGAGGTCCCAGTCTGTTGGGGCAGTTTTCTGCTATCAGAGTTTTACTAGTAAATCATTACAATCGTTAAGGACTTCATTCCTCAAGGCCAATTCAACATTTACCTACCTCGAGCTTTGTGCTACTCAAAGTCGGACAATTAATGCTCACCTCAGTAAGCAATGAGCAGACATACGTAGCACGTGTCCAAGCCAGCTCAACTTATACAATGCTATTTATTGTTTTATAAAACGAAATTGACTAACATCACCTAGTACCACTGTGCATATTGTCGTAACAGCGGCAGTATCACACATAATGCCCAGTGTTCTCACCACAATCGAATGATGATTCGGCTCGATCCCCTTGCGCACATGGGGGATTTCGTACATCCTTTGAAACTATAACCTTATCAGTTCGGGGCGTTGAAAGGAGGATGTGGTTATGCGTAAAGACCAACGTTGAATCGTGACTGACGTAGAAGCCGTTCTGGGGGACTGATTAAAATGTGCATAGAACAGAGAGGTAGTAAGCATGACACACATTGTGTCAATGCTTTCGTACGAAAGGCGATGGTGGATGATCGTGAAGTACGTGAAAATTACCCAGTCCTACATTTGCTCTGCTTATCTCGGGACGCTGGCGCATGTTCAGGAAATCCACACCTGGTTAGCGGCGCATCAGTATGAGTTCCCGAAATACTTCTGATTTGTATCTTTTAGCTTCCTAACATGTCGAGATGATGCTTGTCAATTTATGCATTAGCTTGTAAACGTCTCATGATGCAGTGTGCGGAAACCGCACTAAGGGAGGAGATTCATTGCCAATGAATCGACGAATGGAGTACGATAAAGCAATTGTATCTTTAGTGCAGGTAGCAGGGGGAAGTACAATTGTTTACTGAAATTCTTCCCTCTGAAGGACAATTATTTTCCAGGCTTTTTCATGAGTTGAATTTTTCAAAAAGGAGCATCTTAACGTATGGCAAAGGAAACAAAATGGGCACGCCACAAAGGCCCATCCTACATTTGAATGCAGATAATGTCATGACCACAGGGGAAGAGCGCCATCTGGGCATGTGCACAGGGTGGTCCCCGCCTATCTATTCGCGCAGTGGTCTTATCGTCCGATGCATGTACGAGGCAAGCTGCTTGTCGAAGATATACATTTAGTGTTAGGTAACAGAGTCTCAGATGCCGTATTGGAGTGCATGTTGAACTCGAATCGCTGTCGTATGTCCGATCATGCGCTAAGCATGTCGGCTGCCTCGGCGTGTAACATCAACCAACACTGCGCCTAATTAGATGATGTCTGAAAAGGCCAGTCAGTGAGATGGTAAAAGTGTACCAATAAATTAAGTGAAAGACAGGTCGTCTACTCAGATGGGGTCCTCAGACAGGCAGCAGCAATAATCGGATACAGTGCGACCGTAAATTCAGTGGCGTACTTGCAGTCGTTCCCCCACATCGGATGCTTGGTTATTATCCCTTGAATAATCATTAGTGCTATCATCATCACCATAACCGTTAGCTGCCGAATGGACCTGCGGCCCCTCGGTGTATGGACCAAATTTGACAAATTATACTGAACCAAACTGCCGTTCTGCCTGGAAAGGAGTATTCATCATGTTCAATCCAGCAGATACTCTGTGTGGTGAACACGGATCAATACTAGTGAGTGGAACTGATCACAAGTGTTAGAATGCGTTGACATCCAAATTAAGATCGTCATAAGTCAAAGCTGCACACTGTCAAGTGTACGGAAACTGTTGAAGGAGTGGCATGTTAAAATATGGTCGTTGTGCATCATCATCATCAGCACCAGCAGTACATCAGCCATTTGAGCTGACGCTTCGCTGCCATACAACCATGAAGACCTATGAAATAAAGAATAAGAAGAGGGAGAGAAGAGGGAATTACCTGAAAACCTTTGTGCCCTAAGCAAACATTCAGCGTCAAGGCGCCTACACCTTGAGTAGACAACATACCGTCACAAACAGCTGGCTATCGTGCAAAGATAAGGCGGAATCGGAGAGACGGCACCCTTGCGGCTTTCACTCCCCCGCGTCATAATCAGCCAATACCCCCCAGATAGCTCAACATCAAACATACTTTAAACGGCGGGGAGGTG